AATTTTTATATGGTATAACTTTTCCTTCTGGTACAGCTTTAATTTTTATTGGTAGATAACCTCCATGTTTCTGCAAAAGAAGAATAAAAAATAACACAAGCATAAATCTTGGATAAAGATCAAAATAACAGAAAATTACCAAAAAAACCCCACAAATTTAATCTTATCCCAGTAGTCCATTTAATATGTGCATTAAGATGTGTGATTGTATGTATATTATCTTGAAATGTAATGACATATTTTTTAAACGATGACAGTAATGTGCTACAACTTTTAAACAGCTAATAAAAATATATTTCACCTCTACAATGTAATTCCAGCCATGTTCATTAAAATAGTCAGCCCCAAAATGAAGTTTGTAGAGTTCTTTAGCTTCTTTAATCTTATCTTTGGTAATCACAGGGCCAATAAGCCATCTTTTTATAATATATTGAAGTCCAAAGAAACATACATTTGGGAATTTGCCTCCTCTACTTTCAAAATATGAATAGACTTTGGTAGTATTTGGTGGATATTGTCTATGATGTGTGACCTATAAAATAAGTACAGGATCAATCATAACATTGGCATCAATCCACACACAGTGGTCCATAAGTATCAAATTCCAAATATATTCCTTCTTACTTCTGATTAAAACAAATGTTGTATTTTTGAAAAGTAAGCCTACTAAAAGGCATGTTGAAAGATTCATGATTTATTTAACTTTTAAAATACCCTTTAAGATTATTATTATTTGAGGTAAGAAGGTGTGGTTAAACTAAAAAAAAAACACAAAAATGGCTAAAAAATATATTGATGTCATTCAGACAAGAGCATATAAAATATTAAAATTTTAACGTTCATCAAAAAATTTAACACCCATAACTGGTCTAGTGTACATTATTTTGGTGCCTCAACTTCAGAAATGTGTAACAAAAGACATTTTATAGTAATACATGTGACACATTATACTGCTGTCATAATTTTGAAATCATATTGAATTATAATTAGTCTTTTACTCTGTGTTTGATGCTTCAATTTCAGACATGTAACACACATGACACACTGGCATAACACATGTAACACACTTTAAATTGCTGTCGGTAATCCAGAAATACACAACGTTTAATATTGTAAGCATCATCAGTAAGGGAATTGTGCTGAAACACTCATAACAGAATCTGTCCCAACATTCTAGATGTAAAATAATACAATATATTACAAATAAATGGACATTGAAAGCAGAAAGTAATTAATTTCATACATATATGAAAATTTCTTTCATTACTTTTTATTAGGGATAATTAACCTTCCATGTGAATTTTTTGTCTCTGAAGAAGGAATGGGCCTAGTATTATATCACATCAAGCTTCTATGGAATGCCAAAAATGACAAAAATGCAACATGAATAAATCACATACAATAAGTTGAAACCAGGAAATTCATATGATATATACCAAGATCTTAAATCATATACAAAGAAGTTTACATATTATACCAAGAATTTGAATTACAGTGAGAAAAACTTGTTGTCTGGATACCCATTGGTATATTTATCATTTCTTAGTATTTTTATCATTAATATCAAGTCATTAAAACCTTGGAGTAATGACATACTCCAAGTTATAACTAATGGCAATTCCTCCAAAGAACAATGATTTTGAAAAAAAAAAAACAGTGGCTGTCAAAATGAGATAACTTTAGAGTAATTTATTGCTAAAATTCATGGAAACAAGATAAAAATATGGCCTACATTGTGTTTCAAAGAATTTTTCTGCTGACATGGAATCCGCTAGTTTGTCATGTGACTTTGTTCACTGGAATATATTCTTGCAGTAAGACACTTGGAATTCTGAATACAGCTGGGGATCATAAAGAAATTCGGCAGATAAAAAATTGCATCATTTGGTAATAACTGAAATTAAAACTGTTTATATATGTTTATCAAAACATGCATATGCAGAGGTTACGAGAGGTCATCATTATCAGGAGATGCACAAAATTAGATTACTGAACCATTTATACTAAAATCATTATTATAGTAAGTTTTAAATATATTTCGAGAATTCTTTTTATATGCCAAGATAATGCAGACACATGAATCTTGAATGATCACTTGAATCTTGGACCAAAAAACATCTTGGCATATATAGATAGAATTCTTGGTATCGGTACAAACTCAATTAATCAAAATCAACATAGGCCTATAGGTTAGGCCTATAAACATTTCTTGGGAATACAAATAAAATACAGATCTTGAGTCCCAACTTATAGTCTGGGTACATTATTTTATGTTTTCTATAGATAATTAAAATTCTTGGTACTTGATTTGGATTTCTTAGAATAATTTTTTAACTTCTTGGTAAAATAAAAAATCTTTATATGGGCCTAATTATTATGAATTTCTTGAAAGGCCTATATAGTATTGTGAATTTTTCATGTTAGATTTTTTCCGTTTGGCATTCAATAACTTTCTAACAATTCCCTAACTTGCTGGTACATAATAGAACAGAAAAAAAAATATCAGCAGTCCAATAGAGAGAGGGAAAACTAATCATATTAGCTAGGCCTAGTCTATAAGGATTGTAATATAAAACCTGAAAACCCATTGGAGTGAATCGGGAGGGAGATATATGAATAAACCAGCATAAAATGGATTTAAAAATTACAGAAATAACTTCATTTTCATATTTTCAATTTATTTTTTTTTTAAGATATCATAATTAAGCGTCTGTGATATATAAATTGAAGTGAATATATGAAAGAGAAAGTGAAAGTAGGCAACGTCAATAACGGTAGTATTTAGTAAGGCAATTACGTCTAGGATAGGCCTAGTTTATTCGATATCATTAGCAATACATCCACATTCAATAATCAACAATAAAATAGTATGATGCTTTTGGAAATTGTCAACTTCACTTACTTTGTAGGAATCAGTAACAAACAACAAATTATCAGTTCCTCCAGCTAAAAAGGCGGCCATTTTGGACGCTATACCGTTAGAAACAAGATTGGGCGTATTCTCTTCCGAGAAAAACATTGATCGACAGTTACCCTGTGTTTTATTTATATATAGTGGAGACCGGTTCAGTCCAGACGGAAATCGATATTATGCAATGCAAAAATATAGTTATGACAATCGAGACTAACTGATTCTAAAAAGGGAAGCTTAATAAGTAAGACTTACGAAATATTAGGTTTAATCAGCATCTATTGTAAGTAACATGCTCAGCCTACTGAACTTGGAGTAATGCATAACATTTTTATCTTTTAACAATGCAAACACGGCCGTTTCGTCTTATAACTTAACTGTATATTATTTAAGATGATACCATTCCATCCTTTTTGTCCTATAATATTCCAGATAATACCTGACAGTGCCTCAGAGTCGTATACTATTCCAAATGATATCTGACAGATAATTTACAGAACATTCTCGTTTTAACCCGGTTGAAATCTTACCAAACATTCTAGTCTTTTATCATCCCAGTAAAAATATTACAGAGCATTCTAATCTCATATCATTCCAGTTAAAATATTACAGAGCATTCTAGTCTTATATCATTCCAGTTAAAATATTACAGAGCATTCTAGTCTTATATCATTCCAGTTAAAATATTACAGAGCATTCTAATCTTATATCATTACAGTTAAAATATTACAGAGCATTCTAATCTTATATCATTACAGTTAAAATATGACAGAGCATTCTAGTCTTATATCATTACAGTTAAAATATTACAGAGCATTCTAATCTTATATCATTACAGTTAAAATATTACAGAGCATTCTAATCTTATATCATTCCAGTTAAAATATTACAGAGCATTCTAGTCTTATATCATTACAGTTAAAATATTACAGAGCATTCTAGTCTTATATCATTACAGTTAAAATATTACAGAGCATTCTAATCTTATATCATTACAGTTAAAATATTACAGAGCATTCTAGTCTTATATCATTACAGTTAAAATATGACAGAGCATTCTAATCTTATATCATTCAAGTTAAAATCTGACGGAGCATTCTATAGTCTTATATCATTCAAGTTAAAATCTGACGGAGCATTCTAATCTTATATCATTACAGTTAAAATCTGACGGAGCATTCTATAGTCTTATATCATTCAAGTTAAAATCTGACGGAGCATTCTAATCTTATATCATTCAAGTTAAAATCTGACGGAGCATTCTATAGTCTTATATCATTCAAGTTAAAATCTGACGGAGCATTCTAGTCTTATATCATTCAAGTTAAAATCTGACGGAGCATTCTATAGTCTTATATCATTAAGTTAAAATATTACGGAGCATTCGAATCTTATATAACTCAAATTAAAATTTACCGGGTTGAAATCGTACATACATTTTAATTTTATAACAACCCTAGATCAACGCTAATTTTTTAATTTTTTTGTCGGAAAATCCCCTAAAACAATCCCCGATGGTGCGAGCGTCGTAGGCTATCCCCTTAACGACAATATCTCAAGAAGATCAACCCTCATTCTTAAAATATTCTAGATGTAGCCTAGGGGATCTCTCCCAAAACCTGCTCAATAGGAAAAATTTTCGTGAAAGGGGGTGGAGGGCTTCTTAAAAGGTGAACGCTGCTGGCTCCCACGGCACCATAGGAGTCTGTTTTCATTTGCTTCCTACGGCTCTGATTATAGCCGAAGTTGTTATAGTGTTGATTGCACGATGAATCAAAGAACGAGTTCCAATAGAAAACAAAATGGCAACAACTCACTTATTTTCGATTTTTATTTCTTCTATTGATCATAAAAAATTTCACAAAAAGTTGCCATAAATTGTGTGAGCGTCAAAAGCAATATTGTGAACTAGTCGACGAGAATAAATGACCCCAAAAAAACGATCCACATTTTTTAAAACATTTTCAACTTTATTTGACAGCTTTTTTATTCACAGAAGCTGGGTTTGCGGCTTCAATTGCTCTTGTTAATAAAGATTTGGTGAGGTCTCCAGTATTTCCTTCTAAAGGTTTCTTTTTTGCTTCTGTTGCTCTGTTTCTTAAATTCGACAGCAGAAGGTTCGCCTCTCGTCTCTTTCTAAAGTGATTTGCTTGAATGTTTTGTCTGTAAGAGGGAAACAATATTGGCTAAACTGATATATGACCCATCGATTGATTTAGGGCAAAGACATATGGACATTAGCAGTGTGTCCTAGTATGATACATGCATATTGCCACCACAAACTAAGGTCTGTCAAGATCGCGTCACAAGTATGGCTTAAACCTTCAATGTAGAAATTGCGAAACTTGATTTCTTGATTTGAAAAGTTTTTTTTGATAACATAATAAGATGTATCGTAATACTTACAGCCACCCTTTTCAAAATTATCATCAGGTATTATTTTGTCTGTGCTCAATCCATCCCAAAACGTAGAAAAATTGGCAACAACTACAGCTCTGCAACGACGATTATCATTATGTAAGTTTCAAGATACTTTTTGAAATGAGGGGTGAAATATATGTCACGTAGGCTAATGAATTGAAAAAATAAACATATGTAGATGAAATTCTGTGCAAATTATTCTGAATGAAATTTAGTTGCTTTAGTTTTCCAAACACCATCTAATAACCATTATCTTTACGGAATCTTTTGGAGTTCAATAAGCAGTCATGTGTACTCTTGAAATTGTGTTGTGGAACGCCTTAGCTTCGATCTTTTATTGGATGGTTTCCGACCATGGCTCACTCAATGGTTGCTCGAGAGCACATGAAATAAGGAATATAATTTAAGATCGGCTACTAACCTAAACTGAATGGCACCAACATGTACACCAAGGGGAGGTAACCACGAGATTGTTACTGAAGATTTGGGTAGAGCATCTGTATGTGACATACCACAATTACCCACACCTGAATATTGAAGTTACATTT